GGCCTGAGTCGCCACTTCAGACTTAGGCTTCCAGACTTGTCGTGTTGGTGGTGGCTTCTTCTCCACCTCCTTTTGCAGCTTTCTACGGGCTTCCTGAGCTTGAGCCCGTGCCTGCGCTGACATCGCGCGGCGCTTGCGAATGCGCTCCTCGAGTGTCGAACGGTTCCGTTTGACGCGGACCCATTCTTTCTTTGGCGGCTTGGAAGAGTCGCCATTCATTGGTGGTTGAGGCTGTTTGCCTCTTCTGTTCTTCAACTCCGCGTGGTAGCGGAATCCGTCCGTAGACTCCATCGCCTTAGCGAATTGCCGCGCAAGGCGTTGACGACGCCTCTGGCGGGCTCTCTTTGAGAGAGTCACAACGCCCTGAACAGTAGAGGCGTTGGCGGGAGTTGGGTTGACCTGATTGGAGGTCGGTGGAACTTCATTTGACGCAACTTCGGCGTCAGTTGGGTTGAGAGCTTCGTGGGCTTCCCGAGCAGCTTCAAACCAACGAGCTTTTCTCCCGGAGGAGAACTTCTTGGACTTGCGGGGGGAGATAGAGCCGGACGAGGACACGTACTCCTCGAACTTGGCTTGGTCGAACTCGTACTCGACCTCCTCCACGACCGGGATTGCAATCCGCGGCTGCGACGCATCGATCTCGTTGGCGAGATCGTCGGCTCCCACTGTGGTCGCCAGATTGTTCGCGTGGAAAACTGTTTTCTTTTTCATTGATATGATTGTCATCTTGGGTTACAAAGATCCGGTCTTTTATAGATCCGGTTACAACTAAATCAAAGAAAATAAAGAAAAATTACAACTCTCCTCTGTGAACAAATCACGAGCTCCTGTTTTGCGGTCGCTCGCTTTGGTGGGTTCTTTGCCTGCGCCGGGGTTAATCCGTGGACCACCGCGCGATCTAGATCCGGTCGGATCTACACGAGTATGCGGGTATTATTCCACGAAGGGAATAATAGCCGGGAGGGATTAATCCACCAAGGGAATAATCGCTCAGATCTCGAGATCTAAGACCAAGCTTAGATCTGGAGTGTAGTCTCGTGTAGATCTCAGATCTGTTCTTTCTTCCTCTCGAGATCCTGCCTTTTCTGACGTGGATGGTCGCCGAGGATCAGATCTGAATGGTGCAAGTCTTCTGGTCTTCAAGCTCCGAGTTCACTCTTCAATCCGGCAGAGTTTCGGCTCTTGAAAGTTCGACCCCTGAAAATGAACATCTCTAGGCCTATTTATAGGCTCTCAGGACAGTGGCTGCAAAAAGGGAATTGTCGGCCACCTCTGCCGAGCCACCTATGGGTGTGGGTTTTCCGAGTTTTTGAGTTGTGTCCGTTTTCCGGTTTTGTCCGTGATTCGGTTGATTGAGACTCTGATTGGTTGATCTGATTTGGCAGTAAGTCGGATTCCTGATTTGGCAGTAAATCCGCTTCTGAGTTCGAGTCCGAAACTGATCTTGATTCGATCGTGATTCGTCCGAGTCTGTTCTCGGTTGGATGACTCGTTGATTCCTTAACACTTGGCTTGATTCCGAACGCGTATGGATGCATTCCGTCGCTTCCGTGCGATTCGTCGATCTCGTCGCCTCGTTGGTTCGTCGGTTTGTGCCGAGCTATGCTAGGGGACCTATAAGCAATTTTATATGCCTACATAGGTAAAGATAAGGAGGATTTCCAGTTGAATTCTCCTTTTTCTTTGAATACAGATCAGAATGTTGAGAAAGCTACTATTACATTGAATTCTGGTAAAAGAAATGAAGAAACGATAGCCTCACCAAATGAAAAAGCTGAAGGGGCCTCGATTTCAAATGAAACTGAGGATAAAATTGGAAAAAGCTGGATTAGTCTGTTCTCAGACAATAGGAAACTGGGTAATGGGATGAATTTAAACTATGTTCCCTCTGATAACAAGGATACAGTTTCTTTTGATGATAAAGAGTGGAATGAGGATATTTTAATTTGGCAATCTTCTCTAATTGGTCAAGTAATGGGATTGAATGTCAAATTTAAAGCTATGGAAAGTTATGTGCAGAAAACTTGGAAAAATTTGATGCCAGAAGTCTGCCTCCTTAAACCTGGACTGTTTCTGTTCAAATTCAAGAGTATTGATGAGATGAATGAGATTCTATGTAAAGGGCCTTGGTTTTTTGGTTCAAGACCTTTGTTATTGAAGCAATGGTCCAATAGTGAGGAGATTGACAAAATTAAGGATTGTGTTTATCCTATGTGGATTCAACTCCCATCATTAAGGCTTAACCTTTGGAATGCTAAGAGCATTTCTAAAATTGTGAGTGCTATTGGTTGTCCTATTGCAACTGATAGTCTAACTGCTAATAGACAGCGTTTGGCTTATGCGAGGGTGTTAGTTGAGGTTAAATTACCATCTCCTCTACCTGATCAGATCATCATTCAAGACCCAAATGGGAAAAAACACTCTCAGAAGGTGATTTATGAACTAAAACCTAAGTGGTGTGATATTTGCAAGCAGATTGGGCATGACACAAAAACATGTAGAAAGCTTGTGAAAACACAGAGATGGATACCTAAGCAAAATCAAAATCATAAACCTGGAAATAATGAGAAGGATAATGTTAATATTGTGAATGCTACTCATGAACAGGGGAGGGATTCTCAGAAGGGGAATTCTAGTCAGATTGGAGTTGCTGAGCATGATAGCAGTGTTCAGGCTGAGCATGTGCATATTTCTACTGCTGGAGATCAAATATTTGGACATGTTAATAATTCACATCAGCTTATCAAGGAGATGATTGCTGAGGATGGGATAAGGACTGCAATTCAAACCTCCAGTTCTGGGCAACAGGCTGTGCACAGGTCTGTGCATGTGGTGCATGTCAAAGAGAAAAGTCCAGAAGATAGACTGAGTCCTGGTTACTCTACAAAAGGGAATAATCCATGGATTCATGTTCAAAATGGTAAAAAGAATAAGGATATCATACATGGTAATTCTTACTCTTATCTAAATACTTTGGATATTGATCCTTCTACACTAGATAGAGGGGGAGGGGGTGATCAATGATGAATCTATCATTTTGGAATATTAGAGGATTAAACAAATCCTCTAAACAACACATGGTAAAGCAATTCTTATCTCAGTACCATCTTTCTTATATAGCCTTGCTTGAAACAAAAATTAAAAATAGTAGGATTCAGAGTGCAGTGCAGAGAATTGCTAGAAACTGGAATTGGATATCCAATGCCAGCAATCAAAGTAAAGCCAGAATTCTGATTATGTGGGATTCAAATGTGTTTGGAGTTCAAATCATCAATATATCTGATCAAAGTGTCACATGCAAAGTTAATTCCTTAGATGGGAGAATGGAATGTATTATTACATCAATCTATGCTTTTAATCAAATGGAGGCTAGGAAGGTGTTATGGGATGAATTGAAGTCTGCTCAACAGTCAATAAGGAATGAACCATGGCTTCTGTGTGGGGATTTCAACATTGTCATCAACAGTGAGGAGAAGATTGGAGGAACAATAGTCTCTGAATCTGATACTAAAGATTTCAGAGATTGTATTGAAGATTGCCATCTAAATCAACTTAAAACAACAGGATGCTTTTATACTTGGAATAATAAGCAGGATCATGATTCTAGAGTGTGGTGTAAACTGGATAGGGCTTTGGTGAATGATACTTGGCTTCTTAAGTACAATGCTAGTCAGGTTGAATTCTTGCTCCCTAATTGCTCTGACCACTCACCTGCATTAGTAACAATTTTTGAGGATTGCTCAAAAGGAAAGAAACCTTTCAGGTATTTCAAAATGTGGTCTAAACATGACTCCTTTATTCCTGTTGTGTCTGCTATTTGGCAGACAAAAGTAGAGGGGTTTAAAATGTATACAGTATGTAAGAGGCTTCAGCTGCTGAGAGAAGCTCTTAAGGAATTAAACAAGAGGCATTATGCTAATATCAGTGAGCAGGTTCTGAAAGCTAGAAGGGCTCTTGAAGAAGCTCAGGGCAGACTGCAAATTTCCTCTCTCAACCCAGAGTTCATTAAAAATGAACGGGAGTGCATTGCAAATTACAATAAACTTTTGGATTGTGAACTATCTTTTCTGCAGCAAAAAGCTAGAATTAATTGGAGTATTCAGGGAGATAGGTGCACAAATTTCTTTCACTCTAGGATCAAAGCAAATTGTCATCAGAATAAGGTGATGTCTCTATACAATGCCTTAGGACAGAGAATTTCTGATCAAGAGGAGATAGCTAAAGAAATGGTGTTATACTACAAGGACTTATTGGGGTCAGACTCAGAAACTATCACTCCAGACACTCAAATCATTCAGTCTGGGCCATGTATGACTGTTGCTCAAGCTGACATGCTTTCAAAGCCTGTTTCAAGAGAGGAAATAAAAAGTGCAATATTCTCAATGCATGATAACAAAGCTCCAGGTCCTGATGGGTATGGAGTTGCCTTCTATAAGTCTGCCTGGTCTGTGATTGGACAGGAGGTGATTTTGGCTATTGAGGAATTCTTCAAAAATGGAAAAATGCTGGGAATGGTAAACTCTACTTCTATCACTCCTATTCCTAAGATAAAATGCCCAGTTTCTCCCTCTGATTATAGGCCTATTTCTTGCTGTAACTGCATCTATAAATTCATATCCAAAATCCTAGCTAACAGGATTAGACCAATCTTGGGGAGCATAGTGAATGAAGCACAAAGTGCTTTTGTCAAAGGTAGACAAATTTCCAGTAACATCTCCTTGGCACATGAGCTTGCTAAAAGCTACAGTAGGAAGGGGATTTCACCAAGAGTTATGTTGAGTATTGATATTAGAAAGGCCTTTGATACAATTAACTGGAAATTTTTGAAGAAAATGCTTGAAGGTCTGGGTTTCCCTAGAGTGATGGTCAAATGGATTTTGGCTTGCATCTCGTCCCCTAGATTTTCTATTTCCCTAAATGGAACTCTTCATGGCTATTTTGAGGGTAAGAGGGGCTTAAGGTAGGGAGACCCTCTTTCTCCATACCTGTTCATCTTGGGGATGGAATACTTATCAAGGAAATTAGAGCTTTTAAAGGAAGATAAACTGTTCAGATATCACCCTATGTGTGGTAAGCTCAAAATATCCCACCTAATATTTGCGGATGATCTACTGCTTTTCGCCAAGGGAGACTTATATTCAATCCAAAAACTATATCATTGTGTGAAGGATTTTAGTGTTACTACTGGTCTGGAAGCTAATCTGAGCAAATGCTCAATTTACTTTGGTGGTGTGAATGAAAATACCAAAACAGCAATTAAAAATATGCTGGGGTTTTCTGAAGGGACTCTTCCATTCAAGTATTTGGGTGTACCACTCATCTGTAAGAGGTTATCATACATTGATTGTAACCCATTATTGGATAAAATCTCTGGTCAGTTTCAGAAGTGGCTTAGACATAGTAATCTATCATACGCAGGGAGGCTTCAAGTGATCAAAAGTGAGATATTAGGTGTTCAAAATTACTGGACAACCAATTTCGTTCTTCCTGTTAAAGTAACTCAGAAGATAGATGAGCTGTGCAGAAAATTCTTATGGGGAAAGTCTGATACTTCTTTCAGAATCTCATTGGTTTCATGGGATAAAGTTTGTTATCGGAAAAAACAGGGTGGTTTGGGAGTTTTCTCTGCTTCTATTTGGAATCTGTCTTCAGCATTAAGGAGCCTATGGTATATTCATGTTAACAAGGAAAGTTTATGGGTGAAATGGATCCATGGAAACTATTTAAAACATTGGGATGTATGGCACGTAAAGGCTAAAAAAGAGAATTCTTGGATGTGGAAGCAGTTGATCAAGTGTAGGGACAGAGCTTTGGCTATCACTGGAGGGATTGACAACTTGAAACAGATTCTCAGTGCTTGCTATAAGGAATCTAAATTGCAGTTAACTGTAGTTTACTCTATTTTCTCCCCTGGTTCACACATTGTTCCTTGGTACAACACAATATGGGGAAAGCTGAATTATCCGAAGCACACATTTGTACTGTGGCTTGCAGTGCAGAACAGATTACTTACACAGGACAGGTTGATGAGAAGAGGAACCATTAATTCAAATACTTGCCTACTATGTGCAGGATCAGCCTCTGAAACAAGGAATCATTTGTTCTTTGACTGTCCATATTCAAGAGAGGTGTGGCTAGCCATCATGGACTAGCTCAGAATGACTTGGCAATCTTGTGAGTGGGAATTACTCATGAATTGGTTTAACACCAGACAAAGAGGGAATGGGTTTAAAACAAATGTTAGGAGGATGGCTCTTGCGACTACTGTATACAGATTGTGGATAGAAAGGAATGATAGATTTTTTCAGCAAGGTGTTACAGGTGCTGCTCATTTGGTTAAGAATATCAAAATTGATATCTTAACTATTTGTCTAAATTGTCCTATCTTAGATGAATATAGGGATTGGATAATATCTTTGTAAGTTGATAGCTTCCTGTTAGAAGCTTTGTTTTCTCAATTTGGAGACTGTGATGTACATAAATTCCATATATTTTGGTAAATGAATAAAGCATTTTTTCATTGACCAAAAAAAAAAGAATTAATCAGTCACCAAGCTTTGAATCATTGCTCAGCAATTAAACTAGGATAGTTGTATATACATAGTATGATTAGAAAATAAGAGGCAAACAAACTATACAAACAACAAAAACAGAAATATTTTAAAAAAGGAAAATTACCTTATTTTCACCACTTTCGCCTGAAGTACTGGTGCTTTGCTTTAGCACCTTAGTATCCTGTAAAAAGAACAAATAGGATACAAAGTTGTATTTGCAATGAAAATTTGCTAGGTTCGTAATAGTAATTTAACCACAGTAAACTTGGAGCATAGATATTTTTCATTAAATGTTCATCATGAAAAAAAATAAAATTAAGTTATCTTAAGATGTCTTGAAATTTCTTATCCAGAGAAAATAAAATGTACTTGTGATGGTAAATATTAGTTTTTGAGCAAAAATGAAGCTAAAGCAATTTATGATTGGACATCAAAATGTAGAACCTATAACATTGGCTATATAATTAGCAAAATCTAGAAATTATTTTTAAAGAGTACGATAATGAATTAATAATAAAGTAAATTACATCATCCAAATTTCAGAGCCAAACAAATTAAGGCATCCCTAATGCAAACCTAATCAGTTTCTCCCCCATTTTTTCCTGATCCAGCTTTGTAAATAAGAATCTCTTCAAGCCCTCAAATTATCAACAATCTAGAAACTAATTGAAGCAACCACACGCACCATTAATATGAAATTCACCAGTAAAATAGTTGCAAAATCAATTTTTGTAAACATGCAATTGCAATGCCCAAATTAAAGACTTGATTTTACCCAAAATGTTCAGCTTCAGTTTTAAATTCTCTTCTTAAATCAATGAACAACCTTCAGTCCATCAAATCTATCAACTAACTAGAAACTAATTGAACTAGAACTTATCGCCACAGAAAACCAAACAGCTAGAAAGTCAAAAGGGTTAAAGAGATGTGCCTTAACACTGAGGCGCCATTTCCATCTCTCCAATGCGGACAACCAGGGGGACCCCCCAAGTTGACAAGAAATTCTTAGGTGCTTCATGAGCACCACGTGGCATATACCACACCAATAGGTACACGGTACACCACGTCAATAGGAGTTAGGTCTTGCAGCACAAAGGGTTTGTTTGGATTGAGGGGAATAAGGGTGAAGGGAAGTCAGGGGAACCATTCACCTCTATTCACCTTGTTTGGGAACATTTAGGAGGTGAAGTTATTCACACTAGTTCCCCTTGGTTCACCCTCTAATAGTATAAAATTTGTTACCCCCCAAATTGGGATGTAACCAAGGGGAAGGGAACTTCATTCCCTTCCCTTTCATTCTCTCACCTAGTTTCCCTTAACTGATTGAACTCTAATAAGCAAAGAGGAAGAAGAACTGATATTTCTGAGGGGCTCCGGTAATGGGTAGGTGGTTTTGCTTTTGTTTTCAGTGCATTTTCTCAAGGAGAATGATCCTCCTTATATAGGGGCTTAACCCATCATCTCTACCCCTCAGATCCGTCCCCATGAGAGATTTTCTCTCAACCACCCATGATTCACGTTCTCCACCATTCTCTCAACAGAGAAACAGTGGTTGATTTGGTTATCAATGACCAAGTCAAGCTAACATCTCCCACTTGACCAAATTAACCAAGTGACATGCCTCCCACTATCCATGAGATCGGATGTTTCTGCTTACCATTACTCCCACTATCCGTAGAGAGTAACTCTTATTTCATTATTCATGAAATTTTACTTGGACTTATTTATTCCTAAGTCCCATCAAACTTACATGTTTGATAAAAGATTCCGCTGGTATTCCTTTTGTCAAAGGATCAGCAATCATATCTGTAGTAGGGATATAAGTCACTTTGACTTCTCCTTTTTCTACAATATCTCGAATATAGTGATACTGGAACTCAATATGTTTTCCTTTGGAGCTATTCACGCCACTATTGATTAAGCTAATTGCTGCTTGATTATCACAATAAATATCAATAGGTCCTTCTAACAAATTGAGATCAAGATCAATCAAAAACCGTCTTATCCAAACAGCATGTGTAGTTGCCATACTGCAAGCTATATATTCAGCTTCTTGCGTATATCTAGCAACACACCCTTGTTTCTTACTACTCCAAGAAACAGCTCCTCCTCCAAAGATAAATAAGTGTCCCGAAGTGGACTTTCCATCATCTTTATCACCTCCGAAATCAGCATCGGAATAACCGAGGAGTTCAAGCGAATCAGCTTGATAAACTAATCTATGAGTCAATGTACCTCTGATATACTTCATAATCCTTTTAACAGCTTCCCAATGTGCTGGTCCTGGATTACTTTGATATCTACTAACTAGACTCACAGCATAAGCTATATCAGGTCTGGTGCACAACATTGCATACATCAAGCTTCCAATTGCTTGAGCATAAGGAACATCTAATGGCTTCTGCCCCTCTCCAGGACTTTGCTCTTTACATAATCTCTTTCCCATAACCAATGGAGTTGGTGCCGGATTGGAATTCTCCATTCCAAACCTTTTAAGAACTGATCTTAAATATTTTTCTTGGTTTAAACTTAGCATTCTAGACTTTCTATCTCGAATTATTTGAATTCCAAGAATATATGATGCATCTCCCATGTCTTTCATCTCAAACTTTTCGTTGAGATCTGCCTTGATTTTATTCAACATTTCTATGCCATTTCCAGCGAGCAATATATCATCCACATATAAGGATAATATAGTAAACTTGCTCCCACTGTTCAAGACATATACACAATTATCTAATTTATTTTGAATAAAACCAAGTTTAGTGACTGCATCATAAAATTTGAGATACCATTGTCTAGAAGACTGTTTTAAACCATATAGAGATTTCATTAATTTGTAAACTTTATGTTCCTGTTCTTTCACCTGAAAACCTTCAGGTTGTTGCATATATATTGCTTCCTTCAACTCTCCGTTAAGGAATGCAGTTTTAACATCCATTTGGAATAACTCCAAATCAAGATATGCAACAATAGCCAAAATAATTCTAATGGATGCAAATTTAGCTACAGGAGAATACGTCTCCTGAAAATCTATTCCTGCCTTCTGGTTATAACCTTTGGCAACTAACCGTGCTTTGAATTTATCAATAGATCCATCAACACGATATTTCTTTTTGAGCACCCATTTGCATCCTATGGCTTTCCTATTTTCTGGTAGATCACATAACTCCCATACCTTATTCTTTTCTATGGAATCAAGTTCTTCTCTCATAGATTCTAGCCATGAAGCTGATTCATGCGATTTCAAGAGCAAGTTTTGAACTCTGATCGAGTTGATAACTCTGAACGAGTTTGAACTCTTGATAAAGAGTTGATTTGAACCGAAAGTCGGTTATAAGCCAAGGGAATGCTCCTGTGGTCGATCGTTGCTGAGGATGAACGTCGATCTCCCCCTTGCTGCCCAAAAAGAAGGATCCCAGAGCCCAGAGTCAAAAGCCCCCAAAAGCCCCGAACTCAGTTGAGTTTCTGATATTTATAGGGGGTTACGGGTGGTAACTGCCCCCTTAATTTGCTCCTCCATGGGCTGAGTGGGGTGTAACCACCCCCTCTTAAACAGCTCCCTAAATAGTGGGGAAAACGGTTTTGAAACCGTTCTGTTAGTGCTTTGAACGAGTCAAAACGCTGAAAACAGCGTTCTGGGCCCGAACTGTGATTGATGAGACGCAGAGTTGGGCGCTTGTTGGGAGTTGAAAACGCAAGGGCCGCTTGCGTTCGGACCTTAACTCTGCGTCTTAAAGATGAGACGCAGAGTTGGGCGCTCGCTGGGAGTCGAAACGCACAGGCCGCATGCATTTTAGAGATGAACTCTGCGTTTTAGGCTAAAAACGCAGAGTTGGACCTGTTTAAAGGCTGAAAACGCACAGTTGGTGCTGTTTTAGAGATGAACTCTGCGTTTTAGTCTGAAAACGCAGAGTTGGGCCTGTTTAAAGGCTGAAAACGCACAGTTGTGCTGTTTTAGAGATTAACTCTGCGTTTCTAGACTGAAAACGCAGAGTTGAGCCTGTTTAAAGGCTGAAAACGCACAGTTGTGCTGTTTTAGAGATTAACTCTGCGTTTCTAGACTGAAAACGCAGAGTTGAGCCTGTTTAAAGGCTGAAAACGCACAGTTGTGCTGTTTTAGCGATTAACTCTGCGTTTTGATGTTGAAAACGCAGAGTTGAGCATGTGCGCTTTGACTCTGTAATGCAGAGGCGAACCTTAGGCGGGCTTGGCGGGCTTCAGGCTAAGTCAAATGTTCTGACGAAGTCCAGTCTTGCAGACGGACTTTAGAACATTACTTGCTACGAAGAACATGTCATAACTTTCAAACCGTACGTCGGAATTGGACGAATTATATATGAAAATCGGCTATCTCGACGAGACGGATCCATCCGAACCTAGCCGAAGGCTTAGGTTCGCTTCCTCCGTTTTGCCAAATTCCTTACGGTTTGAGAGATATATGCGTTTTAATATGAAGAGACCGTCAATTTGTAGTCTCTTTTTGCTAGAGCTTTGCACAGATCGTCCTCTTGTAATCTTCGTCTTGGCTTCTTGAAAATATGAGAGTCGTCAGATTGTAACTCCCGATGTTGATTGTGAAGGCTGTTGAATTGGAGCTTTCATCAGTTATCGTGAAGGTCGTCAGATTGTAGCCTTTTACGTGAAAGTCCTCAAATTGTAGCCTTCTGGAAGTCGTCAAGTTGTAACTTCCATCATCGGTGTTTGATGGGGGGATCAACTATCTATTGTGATTTTTAGACAGCCTACACATCCATTTGGAATAACTCCAAATCAAGATATGCAACAATAGCCAAAATAATTCTAATGGATGCAAATTTAGCTACAGGAGAATACGTCTCCTGAAAATCTATTACTGCCTTCTGGTTATAACCTTTGGCAACTAACCGTGCTTTGAATTTATCAATAGATCCATCAACACGATATTTCTTTTTGAGCACCCATTTGCATCCTATGGCTTTTCTATTTTCTGGTAGATCACATAACTCCTATACCTTGTTATGGAATCAAGTTCTTCTCTCATAGATTCTAGCCATGAAGCTGATTCATGCGATTTCATCGCATCAGAAAAAATTAAGGGATCTTGTTCTTCTATATTTGTATCTACCGAAAAACAGGATGACTCACATGAATACAAATAGTAATCATCCATCCATGAAGGTTGTGTTCATTGCCTTTTGTTGCCTACAACCGGTTGATTAGGTACATTAATTTCTATAGGTATTTCATCATTTTCAAGGTTAGGTTCATTCACAATATCAGGGTCATTAGTGGGAACAACACTGTAATAATCATCATCTATTACAGTTAGAGGTTCTGTTTCCTCTTGAACTTGTTCCTCTTCCTCTAGATTCTCTAGAAATGTAGCATCTCTGCTTTTAATGACACCTTTTTCTTTATTGTAGAACTTATAACCTTTTGACTTTTCTGAATACCCTATGAATCTACACTTTATTGTTTTAAAATCAAACTTATCTCTAAGTTGACATGGAATGAGAACATGGGCTATTGATCCACACTTCCTGAGATGACTCAAATTAGGTTTCCTCCCATTCCATAATTTATAAGGTGTAGATATAACTGATTTGGTGGGAATTCTATTTAAAATGTAGTTTGCAGTTAACAATGCTTCTCCCCAAAAGTTTTTAGAGAGACCAGAATGAGACAACATGCATCTAACTACATTTAATAATGTTCTTTTTTTTCTTTCAGCAACACCATTCTGTTGTGGCGTATACGGCATTTTCGTATGCCTTTTAATTCCATGCTGAATACAATAACTTTCAAATTCTTTAGAATTATATTCTCCACCTCTATCAGTTCTCAAAATTTTGATTTTCAATCCAAGTTGGTTTTCAACTTCTGTCTTATATCTCTTAAAGCATTCAAAAGCTTCTAATTTTCTGGATATAAGATAGACGTGTGCAAACTTGGAATAATCATCTATAAAAGTAATAAAATATTCTTTATTACTATGAGTTTTGACACTTAGGGGACCACAAATATCCGAGTGTATCAACCCTAAAAGTTCACTGGCTCTATGTCCGCCAACAAAAGGTTTTCTAGTCATTTTACCAGTTAAACAATGTTCACATGGTGGCAATTGAACATTAGATAGTGCAGGAAGCAAGTTCATTCTGATAATTTCTTTCATTTTTGAAATACTAGCATGTCCTAGTCTAGAATGCCACAATTCAGACTTAGAAATATAACATGATAAGTAGTTCAAATTCGAAATTTTATTATCAGAATTATTACAAACTACTGGAAGAATGCATAATTCATGCTCGGGCACATATTTTCCCATAGCATACACTTTATTATTCTTGCCTATAGAAACCCTATTATTATAGAACCTAACTTCCAGTCCTTTCTTCATCAAGCTGGGAACAGAGATCAGATTGCGTCGAATTCCTGGCGCATAGAACACATCTTTGAGGACAAGAATACTGTCCCCAAGGGAAGCAAGTTCATTCTGATAATTTCTTTCATTTTTGAAATACTAGCATGTCCTAGTCTAGAATGCCACAATTCAGATTCAGAAATATAACAAGACAAGTAGTTCAAATTCGAAATTTTATTATCAGAATTATTACAAACTACTGGAAGAATGCATAATTCATGCTCGGGCACATATTTACCCATAGCATACACTTTATTATTCTTGCCTATAGAAACCCTATTATTATAGAACCTCACTTCCAGTCCTTTCTTCATCAAGCTGGGAACAAAGATCAGATTGCGTCGAATTCCTGGCGTATAGAACACATCTTTAGGGACAAGAATGCTGTCCCCAAGATTCAATCTATATGAACCAATACCTTCTACATCGAGATAGGTATTATTTCCCATATAGATTCTCTGTTCTCCTTTCTTCAGCTCGGTGAATTCTACGACTCCATTCTTGTCCTTTGCGATATGCCTAGTCGCACCGGAGTCGATCCACCAACCACTGATATCCGTCATCACAGCATTACATTCCGTCACATCGACGAATTCTCTTTTGCTAGTACCCCCTTGTTCTGGATGCTTATAGCCTCCTTTATTCTCCTGCTTTTCACCTTGTGGGCAATTGGGTTTGAAATGCCCGAACTTTCTACAATTATAGCAGGCTCCGCGGGGTACTTTCTTTCTCTTGAACTGTTGTGACTTCGGTCCTCGCGGTTGTGGTTTACTAGGACCAGGGTTTTTATAGCTTCCAGCATTATGCCTCTGGCGGACATAATTCAGCTCTTGCTGCACCATATTCAGTTCCGGTTCCTTCCTACTGGCTATTAAGTCATGTTCTATCGCTAGGTGCATAGGAAGATCAGTGATAGACTTAATGGCAGGATTCATTCTTAATGTGGTGGCAGCCACAGCAAGTGAAGGGGGGAGACTATTCAAAATGGTTGCCACTTGCATTCTTTTCGGGATTTCGGTCCCAGCAGTGGATAAGTCCTTAGCCATGACAATCATTTTATTTATATGCTCTACGACATTGTCTCACTCTTGCATATGACAAGAATTATACTTATGCAAGAGTAGTTGGATGTTAACTTCAGAAGCAGTGTCGTATTTTTCTTTTATTGCATTCCACATGTCCATGGAAGTTTTATAAGTTTCAAAAACTTTGATTAAATTATCTTCCATGAACATGAGCATAAGACTTTTCGCCTTTTTGTCTTCCGGCTTTCACTGCTCAAACCCTTTCTTTTCTTCAGGTGTTGATTTATCAGTAAGGGTTGGAGCAGTGGTTTCGATTATATCATCAATGTTGTCATGAATAAGAGCATATCCTATTTTTCTATGCCACATATCATAATTACTGCCATTAAATTTATCAATTTTGCCTAGTTCTGATAGAACGAGTTTACTAGCCATGCGGTAGAGAACTAAAACTAAATTCAATTTTAAATTTGTATAAGGTTGATATTTTGGCGCGGTGTCCTCCACTTGGATAGGTGAAACAGGCCTTCACTCGGAGTGTGAAAACAGCATACACCACTGGTCAAGCAAGCCCAAATGCAAAGGCCCAATAGGCAGTGATTGGTAAGTTGAAACTATGTTATGAAACAACTAGGCTATGAAATAATAGGGAGGATGCAAAGTACTGAAGGCCTAATAGGCTATGAAAAAAAAACTAAGCTTGATGAACAGTAGGGAAGATGTAGGAAAAAATGAGAAACGTCTTGACAAAAGAGCTATCAATAGGCTAGACTAGGCTTATAAAAAAAACAGTAGGTTAGCTAGGAAACAAGAGGTTGTGAGTTGACCGGCTATAAAGTAATAGGGTGTAGGCTATGACTTGACCGGCTATAAACTTTAAGACATGGCTTTGCTCCCTGGATTTATGAATCCTTTCTTTTCTTCTTCTTCAACCGAGTGCTCTTCTTCTTCAAGAACTAGAAAAATGGAGAGAGGGAGAGAATGGCTCTGATACCAGTGATTGAACTCTAATAAGCAAAGAGGAAGAAGAACTGATATTTCTGAGGGGCTCCGGTAATGGGTAGGTGGTTTTGCTTTTGTTTTCAGTGCATTTTCTCAAGGAGAATGATCCTCCTTATATAGGGGCTTAACTCATCATCTCTACCCCTCAGATCCGCCCCCATGAGAGATTTTCTCTCAACCACCCATGATTCACGTTCTCCATCATTCTCTCAACAGAGAAACAGTGGTTGATTTGGTCATCAATGACCAAGTCAAGCTAACATTAACTTCCCTTCACCCCCTACAAATCCAAACAGAACGAAAAAGAATTTATTTAATTAATTCTATCAGCTTCATATTTGCATGCGATTTGTGCCACATGGCGCACTCCTATTAGTGTGGTGTATGCCGCCTTGGTAACGAATGAGCACCTAAGAATCTTTCCAAATTGACACCTCGCGTCATCTCGATTCGCACCATGGATGAAGACTAAAACACTGATGCGAAAGTTTAAAGAAGCGTTGGAAACGTACTGACTGTTGTTATCTCCCATTTTCCTTGTAGAGTCCCAGTAGTTCTCAAAGTCTGCGAGCGATAGCAGCGCCGGCGACCCATTCCTCCGCTGCCTTAGGCCTCCGCTTCTATCACTCGATCCTCTGTTCTCGAGGTAAACTACTTCATTTTTTGAACGATTAATTACTAGCTAGAATCGAGGTTTTACTCGCAATGCATTAGCTAGTACAACCAAGAAGTATTAATTAGGGTTTAATGAATAGGTTGTTGTTCTACTTTCTCTGCGCATACAGTCTCTTTCTCACCTCATGATAACTCGTGAAGAATCAAGGTCTTTTGTCGATTATATATGATTGAACTCTGCGCAAACCCTCGTCCCCAACTCAACATTAATTAGCATTAGGGTTTTCTTGGTCTTTAATGATTATTTGTACACCATTAACTTTACCATCACCAAATTATCATGCATGACGCATCACACCAAATAAGTTTTAGGCTTTAATGCATAGGCTGTGGTTTTACTTTAATTTTTATAGTAATCAAACTCTCACATAGTTTCTTTCTCAAACACAAGATTTTACCGTTAGTATTAGGGTTTGATGAAGTTTAATTTAAGACGGTTCTACTAAAAACTGATGCGCACACTTTACTTAATTTCATAATCTACTTGATACCAAACGTGTGATATATATAGCACACTTCTTTATTTATTAAACATACTTGATAGAGATGGTTTTTCTTTATCAAGAAAATGAGCATTCTTGAGCAGATTAACTCAACGAAATTGATTACTGAGGTAATTAGTGTTTTAATTCTTAATTTGCAGTGGGAGATATCGATTACATGTGTCTTCCAACGAGCGAAAGGAATAATCACGGGCGTCATCGATGGATGGTCCACAATGCCGAGCCCTAAACCGTACTTCGCGGATCCATTCTTATCGGGCGCATCGATCGTACCAAGGACTACTGCTGTTTGGTGTGTACTACTATACCAAGGCGACACCTACGGCCTCTTCGCCCACAACACAACAGCAACCATTCCTCTGACCACCTTTGCCGTCTCTTAATGGGCTATCGGATCCCTTCTTGGGTCAACCGCATTACCCGCTTCGGAACGTACGTAGTCATCTGTTAACTTGCACATAACAATTACTTGTTTGCTTGCTCAGTTGGAATTTTATGACAGTAATCGCATTGCAGAGAAATTTTTTTTTTAAAGGTGCACAGTGCCAGTGGATGAGATGAACGCAGAATTGAGGAGGACCGCAAATCTCTCGGCCCGGCCCAATAACAAAGTTAATGATGACAATGAAGAAGCTGAACAGAATGAAGCTATAGTTCCAGTGGTCTTCATGGTAACCAGTTAAATAGTTCCCAAGTAATTTGATCTATTTGAGCTTTCTTGATTATAATTAACTATTAATTACACGTGTGCAGGGCGTTTATTGTTTGATGCTGAAAGATCTGTGCCTGCTGCTGATTCTACTTCTACAGCTTCTCTAATACAAAGATATCGGCGATCCTCTTCGAATCGCCTGCAGCTCGATCCAAGTCAATGAAGTAGAAACGAACATGAAAACTGATATACAGCAGCCAACAACAAAGTGAAAATATTGAGATAAGACTTATCTCTGATGGTTGTTTCTGGGGATCTTTTACATTTTCTGATCTAGCGCTACAGGCAATGAAGTATGGTTTTGAAGCAATTAGCTGAATGGAGAGGCTTTATTAATGGCACAGTTGGTGAAGTAATTGATTTTGTTCGAATCTGATGATATAAATGCTTCTCGTATGTGTTCTGCTTTGCATGATCAGCATCTTAGTCTAAACAATAATATGATGAAGAAGGTTCACAATATGAATAATACTCAACATTTGATAGGAAAAAAAGTTCACAGTATGCACAATACTCAACATTTGATATTCCCAGTTCAAACATTTATAAAAAAAAAAAGTTTGAACTCCAGTACAATAGAGATGTAAAATAAGTTAATCGACAAATACTAGGAAAAGAAATAGACAAGAGTTTCGCAAACAAAGAATAAAGTGAAACGAATAAGTTAAAGACACTGGTTAATGATCTAAACAAGTTACATTTTCTCAGACAAACAAAATTATATCCTCTTTAAGTCTATTTGTACCTCTTATATACATTTGGTTACTTGCCAAAACACTGGCAAGTTAATGTTTATCTTTTCTGTCAGTCCAAATTTTCTGACAGTGGTTCGTTTAGGTCAGGAAGAATGAATTGAGAACTGGAACGTGGGGCAGCAGAATCAGATTTGGCCAGACCTCGCTGTGACCTGAAACTTATCTGGATAAAGAAAAATGTTTCTAATCAAAATAAGTAATAAGAGAGCAAAATATGAGATGAGATGAACTTACCATTTCCACAGAAAGGTGCAAGTATATCTAACTTCTTTCAGTAAAAATGTACTCAAGCATAGCGATATAATACTGTGCTAATTTCATCCATTTGATTTCTTCTATATGATTAAAGATTATCGATTTAAAATATTTTCACTTGCTTGTGCGATATTGACATCAACCACAGCAAGGAAATGTAGTTTCATCATGTAAAAATGTTGATGAGGTGTCGACTGTTAGAAAAGCTAAACTAGCAAACACTAAGTTGAATGTCATAATATAAATAGCATAGTTCTTTTGTGTATCGAGGGCGAGAGAACACAAAAGAGATTTGTGTCGTTCAGATAACAAATAAGTAAAAGAACAGTCTAGCTCCTAAAGCTTCATAGAATTTATTCCTGGCAAATAACAATTTAAACATGTTTCATGCGCGAATCTCGAAATAAAAAAGTTTCTCCAAAGCTAATGAGAGCGTTTGACATCCATGGCGTTTTTGTCGTCTTCGTTTTTTTTTCAAAAAAACAATGGAACGTGTTTGCACTGTTTGGCAACCAGGGCGATTTTTTGACTTGACCATTTACAAAATCCAAAAAATAAACGTTTTTCTTAAAACACCAAAAAAGTGTTTTGAGATTCCGTTTTTTCATCTAAGCCACCGCCCGTCCGCCGC